TTGCATGATTGTAATCCCCCAAAACTGTACATGTTGCTGTAAAAAGTCGGGAGCCTGATCAGTAGTTGCCTACTAACAACTGAACACTACGATACATTATGTTCATAATTACATTCGAAAACATCGTGTCTTTAATTATCCCTGTTAGAAGAATAAAGTGTTCTACATGTGATTTCAAGATGTAAAATCAATATATTTAGGTATCTGTTATTGGTGTTCTCATTGTAAAAAAAATTTCAGGCAGCATTTCTGTACTGTTATTGTTAGGTGTCAGTCCTGTCATATGTTCCAAGTCCTTCTTGAATCATTGAGACCTTTATTATTTTAACATACTCAAATTTATTGCAGAAAGCTAAATCACCCAATTGTTATTTTTTTTAATCTTGATACTGACCATTAAGTAGTTTTTTTAGTTGTATGTTTCCTCTCGTAAATAATTCTTTGATACAAATACACAAGAACTTCTTTTTGTCACACGTCTATGCTTTGGACCATTGTTGTGTGTTTTTGCAGCTAAATATTCATGTTCGGATCTTTAATGATGAGATTAACTGGTACATGATCAAATGAAAATGTTTAGCAAACAAAAATTTATCCTCCATTTCAATAGAAACTTATAATATAAATATACCTACAAAGTAGACCTTACATCAGCAACATGTAACAAACTCTAGTTTGAATTTTGTTCCGGTCTGATGATTTTGTGCAGAGTTATGGTCCTTGGACTTAGAAAATTCTCTTAAATAATCAGTTTTCAACACTTTTTTCGTCATGCTTGAAGATATTGATTTGATATTTGTTATATAGTTTACACCATGACAAGTTATAGATTTAGTTAGAATTTTGTTCCAATACAATGATTTTTTTTTATGTTGGTCTACCAGTAGATCTTTTTTTTTGTGTGTACAATAAAAATGCATTAGAAGATCAACAGCTTTACACCAATAAACAACATTTTGTTTGAACCTTGTTTTTTTTTCTTTTCCAGCAATTGTCACCTACTTTTTGTAAACTCAAGACTGCTGCACATTTTAACAACTTGATTTGAAACAGAAATTTCTTTCTGCAAAAATGACAAGGATGCAATATTGTTTTCAAATTTTATTTCAACTTTATTTCTGAAATGCTTCATCAATACATTGTAAAATAAGACATTTTACTTACTTTCATAAACATAATTCTAGACCATATAATGGCCATGTCAAACCCTGAGACAAACATTAGGATCACTCTTTCCTACTTCTGACCTTGAAACACATTTTCAACACAAAACCAGATAAATTTTTAACCATTTATTTGGAAATATTGCAATTCAACAAACAAAACAGATTATATTGCAGAAGTTATAAAAGATGGTGATCCCGAAATAACACTGAAGACATTTAACACTTAGACAGAAATTATAATTCCATTCTAACATGTCTTCAAATTTTAAAAACATTGTAAAATAACCGAAATTGTCTGCTTAAAATCAAACTATTTAAACTGTTATTTTAACCTTTGATACTATAATTAAAATCTTAATCAGATTTTTATAAACTTAAAAAACTTTTGCTTGGTTTAATAATTAGGCCCTTATATAAAACTTTTGATCATTGTCGCGAAATAAAAAGATGTAATTATTCATCAGAAATTATCATTACAGAATATTGCACCATTTCAATATGTTCAAAGCCTCAGCAAAACTTATCGCATAATAAAAATAAAATTTCTTCACATTTTAACATGCAATCTGCATCTCAAAAATAAATAGCACCTTAAACATAGTAATGTATAATCAGAGATATAAACACAACCACATGCCAAGTGGAACGATGGTCAGAACTGGAATGGATTTGAACACTTTTACTTTTTTTTAAACATGCATTGTATGTATGATATGATGAATGTTAAGGGAATGAATATGTCACAATCAAAACAATGAATGTAGGCTGCCTGGCATGTGGCATGGTTTATATTTTTGATGATACCAGTTCATCATTTGCTGGTAACCCCCCAGCATTATCACAGTTCACATTGCCTTTATAATTATACATTGTTACGCTACCGTTATCAATGCCCAATTTATTTGACTAAAAGTACATAGTTGATGTAACTACAATATGTTTATAACAATGTATAAATACACGCTATTGGATTTCCTTCCTCTTGATCTAATATAACCAACCATAAGACCCCCATATCGACTTTGCTGGTACTTGCAGTTATTAAAATACCACTTGTCCAATACATAGCCTGGCCATATAACGATTGTCTCACCGATAGAAGGCCAATGGTTAACTTTTTAATAACAAAATTTTAGGTACTCAAAGTACCTACCTCGAAATGATTGGAATGACTTTTAACTCGTATTTGATGATCATGATATATGTTTTCATTTTTTGAGGTATAACACAATTTTAAGCAATATTATTTGATTTTTAAACAAATATCCTCCAAAAGAAAACTGACTGTTCATAAAAAATAAAATGGAGATCTGTGACATGGCTGAACAATCAGTTTTCTTTTTAGGTAAGCTAACTATTATTATGCTGCACTTTTAAAATAAGGATTTTTCTTAAAACACTTTTGTGCTGTACTTTTTCCCAAATAAATTTTATCTAAATATGAAATATTCCAACTTTTATATTTTAAATGACAAATTTTCTTTAAAAAGTAAAAATAATAGTTTTATCTATTGAAATGACACCAAATGAATAAGCTTATGAACATTTTTTTTGTAATATTTACATTTTTTCAATATGCCCTATATATTCATTCCAGTATAAATGCAGCTCACACACAAGTCCTGTTTCAACAAAACAAGTATTCGTTAAATGCAGTTGAATTATCGGTTGGCATCAATTGTGCTTTGCAGATGTCAAAAAGAGAAAATAATACTTTTTGATATCACTACACCTAGAGCTATAGATAATTCAACTGCTTTAATATATGACTTTCAATGAAGTTATGTACATTAAAAATTAACAAAACACACATTTCTTTTGATGGTGACTGGAATGTTATATTCTGAACGAGAATGTATTATTTCCATAAGCTCTCTTGTCATTTAATACTGATCAAATTATAAGCTGTGGCTACAATAATAATTTTAGTTAAAATAAAATGCTCCGCAGGGCGCAGCTTGATACGACCGCAGAGGTCGAACCCTGAACAGTTGGGGCAAGTATGGACACAACATTCAAGCTTGATACAGCTCTGAATTTGGATTGTGATTAAATATTTGACACAGCATAGGTTTCTGACACAGAATGAATGTGGTCTAAGAACTTAAAAATTTTAAATTGGACATTCACCTATTATGGTCCAATATCCAAAATCTAAATACATGGTTAGATTCAGCATATCAAAGAACCCCAAGAATTCAATTTTTGATGAAATCAAACAAAGTTTAATTTTGGACCCTTTTGACCTCAATGTGGACAAAGTTGATAACGGGGCCCAAAAATCAAATATCTAAATACATGGTTAGATTCAGCATATCAAAGAACCCCATATATTCAATTTTTGTTGAAATCAAACAAAGTTTAATTTTGGACCCCGATTTGGACCAACTTGAAAACTGGGCCCATAATCAAAAATCTAAATACATGTTTAGATTCAGCATATCAAAGAACCCTAAAAATTCAATTTTTGTTAAAATCAAACTAAGTTTAATTTTGGACCCTTTGGACCTTAATGTAGACCAATTTGAAAACGGAACCAAAAATTAAGAATCTAAATACACGGTTAGATTCGGCATATCAAAGAACCCCAATAATTCAATTTTTGATGAAATCAAACAAAGTTAAATTTTTGACCCTTTGGACCTCAATGTGGACCAATTTAAAAACGGGGCCCAAAATCCAAACTCTTAATACACGGTTAGATTCAGCATATTAAAGAACCCCAAGAATTCAAGAATAAAACCCCATTGAAATTGATCAAGAAATAAGCAATTTATACGAAGTATCTTCTTTTGCACAATACTGTGCAATTGAATATTTCTTGCTATTGCGCAATACTGTACAATTGACAATTTCTTGCTATTGCGCAATATTGTGCTATTGGATATTTCTTGCTATTGCGCAATACTGTGCAATTGAAGATTTCTTGCTATTGTGCAATACTGTGCAATTGAAAATTTCTTGCTATTGCACAATACTTATTATATAATAATTTACACATCCTGTTTGGTGTGTATCTCCTACCATATCAATATTATTTGCTTTTAATTATAAATCAGAAATAACCAACTTAAAATGGAAAATTTTAAAAGAAAAAAAAAAGGAAAAAAAGAGAAAACCCCCCCCCCCCCCCCCAAATTTTTTGAACCCCCTTATGATTCATCACCCCCAAACTCAATCCCAGCCTTCCCTTTGTGGTATGGTACCTTGCAGTACAATTTCAGAGAGATCCATACACTTGAACACAAGTTATTGTCTGGAAACTAGAAAAAATGCTTATTTTTGGCCCCTTTTTGGCCCCCAATTCCTAAACGTTTCAGGCAATTACCCACAAACTCAATTCCAGCTTTCCCTTTGTGATATGGAACCTTGTAGTACAATTTCAGAAATATCCAAACACTTACACACAAGTTATTGTCATGAAACTAGAAAAATGCTTGTTTTTTGCCCCTTTTTTGGCCCCTAATTCCTAAAATTTTGAGGCAATTACCCCCAAAATCAATTACAGCCTTCCCTTTGTGATATGGAACCTTGTGGTACAATGTCAGAGAGATCCATACACTTACACACAAGTTATTGTCTGGAAGTTACAAAAATGCTTATTTTTGGCCCCTTTTTGGCCCCTAATTCCTTAACTGTTGGTACCATAACCCCCAAAATCAATCCCAACCTTCCTTTTGTGGTATTGAACCTTATGGTAAAATTTCATAGAAATCTATTCCCTTAAACTAAAGTTAGAGTGCGAAAACCAATGTGTCTTCGGACGACGCCGGACGACGACGACGCCAACGTCATACCAATATACGACCAAAAAATTAAAAATTTTTGCGGTCGTATAAAAACAAAATTAACAGAACAGGAAAATAACATCAAAACAACTGAGCTGTTAATAAAACTTGCAACACAAACAAATTTGGCAGTTAATTCAACAAGTTGATAACATTTTCACAATTTGCTCTGTAATGGCATTTTATGGTTTTGTACCAGCTTTCTACACTAAAATTCAACATTGTAAAAGTATAAAAAAATGAAAAACATGAAAAAGTACAAAACATAAAAGACATTTTCACATAAAAGACAGGCACATTTTTATGTCCACTCTCACATCAATCACCATTCTTTTATTTTTTTTATCACTAATACACACATGTATAATCTCTCATGTTTTAGAACTGCCAATGTGTACAGTCATTCTATTTGGACCCACTTCTTTTTAATTCTAGCACTTTCAAGTCCACAACCATACACATATTTTGAAAGACAATGTTAACATAATGTTATGAGTATCCCTGAAACTAAACCTTCCAACAAAATATACTTCATCTTCTATACACAAGCATACATAGAAATAAGTATTGATAGGATTTATTTCCCTTTTTTTAAAAATTAACAAAACTATTTTTCAGTGTGGAAAAATACAATAAAATTTCTTTCTTTATAAAAATGGATTTCCACTACAAGATCGCGTTGTTTCTATTTTTTTTTGTACATTTTGTAGGTGGTATATACATGATATAAGAATGTACCAAATCCTATGTCCATTCTAAACCCTTTCATACACAACACACTCGTACAATGGACAAAATACAAAATAGCACACACATTCAATACATGTATAAAATCTGTCCAATTTTAAGCACTCAAAAATAACACAACCAGAATAATAACTGATATCAAATGAGTTTGGTCTTCGTCTCAAATACTTATGCCACAACTAGATGAATGGGAGCTTGGCAATGAACAACCACTGTCGCTACTGTCCTCGGTTATTTCACTTAAATTGTTTGGTTTCCTGGCCATTGTACGTCTTTTAGCCAGTCCTGAACTTGGTGGAGACAGTTTGAAACTTGGTATGTTAAACTTGTCATCATCATCGCCACTTTCATATGCATCACAGTCAAAATCGTCCCTCCCACCAATAAAGAAAGAGGGAGGCTCCGAAATCAAAAGATGTTGCTGCATCATTCTGTTGATTGAGACTGCTTCTCCAGCAAAACATTCCAGATCTTTTGTACTGTTGTTTCTGTAATGTAAATAACAGTCCAATGTATAAAAGATAAAAGCTATCATGTTTTCATCCTTAAATAAAATGCTCCGCTGGGGCGCAGCTTGATACGACCGCAGAGGTCGAACCCTGAACAGTTGGGGCAAGTATGGACACAACATTCAAGCTTGATACAGCACTGAATTTGGATTGTGTTAAATATATGACACAGCATAGGTTTCTGACACAGAATGAATGTGGTCTAAGAACTTAAAAACTTTTAATTTACCTATTCAAACCATATCATTATTATTATCTTTTATATACAAATCAGAAATAACCAATTTAAAATGGAAAATTTTAAAGAAAAAAAAAATCCCTCCACTAAATTTTTTGAACCCCCTTATGATTCATCACCCCCAAACTCAATCCCAGCCTTCCCTTTGAGGTATGGTACCTTGCAGTACAATTTTAGAGAGATTCATACACTTGAACACAAGTTATTGTCTGGAAACTAGAAAAATGCTTGTTTTTAGGCCCCTTTTTGGCCCCAAATTCCTAAACGTTTAGGGCAATTACCCCAAAACTCAAACCCAGCTTTCCTTTTGTGATATAGAACCTTGTAGTACAATTTCATAAAGATCCATACACTTACACACAAGTTATTGTCCTGAAACTAGAAAAATGCTTGTTTTTTGCCCCTTTTTGGCCCCTAATTCCTAAAATTTTGAGACAATTACCCCCAAACTCAATCCCAGCCTTCCCTTTGTGGTATGGTACCTTGCAGTACAATTTCAGAGAGATCCATACACTTGAACACAAGTTATTGTCTGGAAACTAGAAAAATGCTTGTTTTTAGGCCCCTTTTTGGCCCCAAATTCCTAAACATTAAGGGCAATTACCCCCAAACTCAAACCCAGCTTTCCTTTTGTGATAGAGAACCTTGTAGTACAATTTCATAAAGATCCATACACTTACACACAAGTTATTGTCCTGAAACTAGAAAAATGCTTGTTTTTTGCCCCTTTTTGGCCCCTTATTCCTAAAATTTTGAGGCAATTACCCCCAAAATCAATCCAAGCATTCCCATTGTGGTATGGTACCTTGCAGTACAATTTCAGAGAGATCCATACACTTGAACACAAGTTATTGTCTGGAAACTAGAAAAATGCTATTTTTGACCCTTTTTTGGCCCCTTATTCCTAAACATTTTGGGCAATTACCCCCAAACTCAATTCCAGCTTTCCCTTTGTGATATGGAACCTTGTAGTTCAATTTCAGAAAAATCCATATACTTACACACAAGTTATTATCATGAAACTAGAAAAATGCTTGTTTTTTCCCCCTTTTTTGGCCCCTAATTCCTAAAATTTTGCGGCAATTACCCCCAAAATCAATCCCAGCATTCCCTTTGTGATATGGAACCTTGTGGTACAATGTCAGAGAGATCCATACACTAACACACAAGTTATGTCTGGAAGTTACAAAAATGCCTATTTTTGGCCCCTTTTTGGCCCCTAATTCCTTAACTGTTGGTACCATAACCCCCAAAATCAATCCCAACCTTCCTTTTGTGGTATTGAACCTTATGGTAAAATTTCATGGAGATCCATTCACTTAAACTAAAGTTAGAGTGCGAAAACTAATGTGTCTTCGGACGACGACGCCGGACTACGACGACGACGATGACGACGACGACGCCAACGTCATACCAATATACGACCAAAAAATTTTTAATTTTTGCGGTCGTATAAAAATAGGAAAATTCTTAATCCAACATCACAGTGTAAATAAAAGTATAAATAGAAAGTGAAAGTATGAAAAGAAAGTGAAACATTTCAATATAATCAACATGAAAAAGATATTAAAATAAAATTGTTCATGTATAAAGTATTTGCTTCAAATTTTATGTCAGAGTTATTTACTGAAAATGCTATAAATGGAATGGATTAAAACATGACTGTCCCATAGTTCTTCTGTTTTGGTGCCTAGGATAACCAACATCAGGTTATGTACACATAATACAAAGGAAAAATCGGAAATTCATAATCCAACATCACAATGTAACCATGGTATTGAAAGTGAAATAAAATTAAGAATGGAAATTGGGAATGTGTCAAAGAGACAACAACCCAACCAAAGAGCAGAAAGCAACTGAAGGCCATCAATGAGTCTTCAACACAGCGAGAAAATCCAGCAACCGGAGGCGGTCTTCAGCTGGCCCCTAAACAAAAAATGTGTACTAGTTCAGTGAAAAAAGACGTCACACTAAACTCCAAAACATATAAATGAACTAAAATTAAAAAAACATACAAGACTAACAAAGGCCAGAGGCTTGAGATCCGAACTTGGGACAGGCGCAAAAATGCGTCGGGGTCTGTTCAATAGTGCTTCGGGTAATTTATCTACACATATGGTTTATTTGCCGCTGCTTGTAGTTACAGGGTAGATCCCTAAAGAGTTATTGTTAAAAGAGTATTTTCATTGTATTAATATAATACTTTTGTACTTTGATTTTTTAGAGTATTGATGGTAAACACTATAACAGTTTAATATTTTATCTTTCAGATAATTGAAAGTAAACAATACCGTTTTCAACTTTCAACTAATCTTTCTCATGTTCTACTGTTACTTCGCTATCTGAGGTAAGGAGGAGGGTTGAGTGCTCACAATATGTTTAATCCTACCACATTCTGTCATTCCATGGTTGTCCATAGTTACTGTCTGCCATATGTTTTAAGCATAAGGGAGCTACCATTTGATTTTACTGGGGGGCTAGGATGAAATTTGAAATAAAATGCTTCGCTGGGCGCAGCTTGATACGACCGCAGAGGTCGAACCCTGAACAGTTGGGGCAAGTATGGACACAACATTCAAGCTTGATACAGCTCTGAATTTGGATTGTGATTAAATATTTGACACAGCATAGGTTTCTGACACAGAAAGAATGTGGTCTAAGAACTTCAATTTTTTTAATTTACCTATTATGGTCCAATGTCCAAAATCAAAATACATGGTTAGATTCAGCATATCAAAGAACCCCATATATTCAATTTTTGTTGAAATCAAACAAAGTTTAATTTTGGACCCCAACTTGGACAAACTTGAAAACTGGTCCCATAATCAAAAATCTAAACACATGTTTAGATTCAGCATATCAAAGTACCCGAAGAATTCAATTTTTGTTAAAATCAAACTAAGTTTAATTTTGGACCCTTTGGACCTTAATGTAGACAAATTTAAAAAACGGGTACCTAAATTAAAAATCTAAAAACACAGTTAGATTTGGCATATCAAAGAACCCCAATAATTCAATTTTTGATGAAATCAAACAAAGTTTAATTTTGGACCCTTTTGACCTCAATATGAACCAATTTGATAGCGGGCCCACAAATAAAAAATCTAAATACATGGTAAGATTCAGCATATCAAAGAACCCCATATATTCAATTTTTGTTGAAATCAAACAAAGTTTAATTTTGGACCCCAATTTGGACCAACTTGAAAACTGGGCCAAAAATCTAAAATCTAAATACATGTTTAGATTCAGCATATCAAAGAACCCCATATATTCAATTTTTGTTGAAATCAAACAAAGTTTAATTTTGGACCCCAACTTGGACCAACTTGAAAACTGGGCCCATGATCAAAAATCTAAACCCATGTTTAGATTCAGCATATCAAAGAACCCTAAGAATTCAATTTTTGTTAAAATCAAACTAAGTTTAATTTTGGACCCTTTGGACCTTAATGTAGACAAATTTAAAAAACGGGACCCAAAATTAAAAATCTAAATACACGGTTAGATTCGGCATATCAAAGAACCCCAATAATTTAATTTTTGATGAAATCAAACAAAGTTTAATTTTGGACCCTTTGGACCTCAATGTGGACCAATTTAAAAACGGGGCCCAAAATCCAAAAACTTAATACACGGTTAGATTCAGCATATTAAAGAACCCCAAGAATTCAAGAATAAAACCCCATTGAAATTGATCAAGAAATAAGCAATTTATACGAAGTATCTTCTTTTGCACAATACTGTGCAATTGAATATTTCTTGCTATTGCGCAATACTGTACAATTGACAATTTCTTGCTATTGCGCAATATTGTGCTATTGGATATTTCTTGCTATTGCGCAATACTGTTAAATTGAAGATTTCTTGCTATTGCGCAATACTGTGCAATTGAAGATTTCTTGCTATTGTGCAATACTGTGCAATTGAAAATTTCTTGCTATTGCACAATACTTATTATATAATAATTTACACATCCTGTTTGGTGTGTATCTCCTACCATATCATTATCATTTGCTTTTAAATATAAATCAGAAATAACCAACTTAAAATGGAAAATTTTAAAAGAAAAAAAAAAGGAAAAAAAGAAAAAAAAAAAAAAAAAAAATCCCCCCCCCAATTTTTTGAACCCCCTTATGATTCATCACCCCCAAACTCAATCCCAGCCTTCCCTTTGTGGTATGGTACCTTGCAGTACAATTTCAGAGAGATCCATACACTTGAACACAAGTTATTGTCTGGAAACTAGAAAAATGCTTATTTTTGGCCCCTTTTTGGCCCCCAATTCCTAAAATTTTGAGGCAATTACCCCCAAACTCAATTCCAGCTTTCCCTTTGTGATATGGAACCTTGTAGTACAATTTCAGAAATATCCAAACACTTACACACAAGTTATTGTCATGAAACTAGAAAAATGCTTGTTTTTTGCCCCTTTTTTGGCCCCTAATTCCTAAAATTTTGAGGCAATTACCCCCAAAATCAATTACAGCCTTCCCTTTGTGATATGGAACCTTGTGGTACAATGTCAGAGAGATCCATACACTTACACACAAGTTATTGTCTGAAAGTTACAAAAATGCTTATTTTTGGCCCCTTTTTGGCCCCTAATTCCTTAACTGTTGGTACCATAACCCCCAAAATCAATCCCAACCTTCCTTTTGTGGTATTGAACCTTATGGTGAAATTTCATGGAGATCCATTCACTTAAACTAAAGTTAGAGTGCGAAAACCAATGTGTCTTCGGACGACGCCGGACGACGACGACGACGACGACGACGACGACGACAACGACGACGACGACGACGACGACGCCAACGTCATACCAATATACGACCAAAAAATTTTTAATTTTTGCGGTCGTATAAAAATGTGATGCATTGTTAAACTTTAAAGAAATGAAACTTATTTTAAGCTTAACACTAGGATTAATTTTTTTATTCAAAGTTTCATACTTCTGTATCTATTTAATGTAACACTTAAACTGTAAAAACAAGTCATTACACTGTTAACAATATAAACAGGAAAAGCATAAAGTGGTCACATACTTTGTCTGATGACTACAGGAAATTACAGTGTATTGCATCCCACCTACATACAGATCTAAATATGGAAATGTATATAACTTGTAGTAAAATAAAGCATACCTTGTCAGAATACCAGGTGTGGCCAAAGGGGTAGGTGCTGCAGGGCATGTAATCCATGGATGTTGTAAAACCTCCAAAGCTGTCAGCCTCTTCCTGGGTTCACGGACTAGTAATTTCTGAATGAGATCTTTGACATCGTTGGATACATCTCTCCATTCATTGTCAGGGAATTCAAACATGCCATCCTGAATTCTAGTGAACAAGGTCTCTTGACATGACTGACAAGCTTCACCTCTCTCCCAGCCACAATCCCCACCGCATTGTCCATAGAATGGAGGATAACCACATAACATAATATACCTGAAAAACAAAATTCATTTCTAGGTTACTCATTTTGAATTTCACTATTTATCACTATCATGAGTACTGATCAATATCATCTTTCTAAACTATGTAAATGTAATTTACGAGTCTATGCTACTCAACATAGCATTTTTTAAAAGAAATTATGACAGAACACATCTTGAAAGATTCATGTGATTAAATTTTCACCTCAAAATTATACTATTTTCTATTTTTTAAAACCAAAATAGTAAAAAACTTACAATATAATTCCTAAGCTCCACAAATCACATTTCTTATCATACGAGAATGACTCTCCAACCCATGCATCAACAACTTCTGGTGCCATGTACTCCACAGACCCCACAGGTGTAAGAAGTTCTGGTGTTGTACAATTATCTTCTGTTTGGCTTCCTGGTACGCCACTTGCCAAATCAAAGTCACAGATACGTATTGGGACTACTTCATCAGTTCTCTCACATAATATGTTATCTGGTTTGAGATCTCTGTGTGCAATACCTAAATATAATAATTTTTAATAATTAATTTGTGTCTGGACAGGTGTTCCTTTGTAAATAATCAGCATGTACGAAATTCAATATTATTATAAACACCAATTAAAATCATGAAATTCTTTCTTCAGATGCTCCTAATGCAAAATTTAAAAACGTTTGCTTTTATTTGTTTTCCTTTTTATTTAAATAATGTATCTTTTCAGGAAAGTTATTAAAATCAAATTTTTAAATGCAATGTCAATCTATAGGAGAGATGCCAACAGTTAAAAAGAAGAGACATTAATTTAGATAAATGCTAGATTTCCTGGAAAACCAGGACACTGAAATAAAAACATACATATATATATATATATATATATATACCTTTTTGGTGAAGAAAGTTCAAAGCTATGGCTATCTGTTTGACTACAAGTGCAGCTTCTCTCTCACATAGGTGGCCCCTTCTTTCAATATTGGCAAGTAATGTTCCGCCTTTCATCTTTTCAAATACCAAATAAAATCTATCTTCCTCTTCAAAGTATTCAAATAGTTGTAAAATATTATCCTGGCCTTGACAAATACTGAAAATCTCTATTTCTTTAAAAACTTTATTTCTTGATCTGGTAAAATCTTTTTCGATAACCTGAAAAATAAAATGATTTCAAATATTATTTTTGAACATTTTGGTTGGTGTTAGTTTTTTTTTTAAATTTATGTCCTTATTGTTATATTCACAACTGTTTTAATACAAAATTCATTATTTCTATTCATCTCTTAACATCATTTAAATGTATTAATTATTTAATAGACCATAAAAATATATTTTCAAATTACCTTCACAGCATATTCTTTGTTCGTTGTGTTTTTTTTGTAAGTTTTAACAGCAGCACATGCTCCATTGCCAAGAATTTCTCCAGTTGCTGTATATAGATCTGTGTAAAAGAACAAACACAATATTATATCATTGATTCATACCATAACTTCATATATTTAATTACACAAACAGTAATCAACAATATCATTACAATGTGCAACAATGAAAACTTACTAAAAGGTCATGACAAGTTGATCAAAGTGTTTCAAATTGAATTATGTCTTTCAAATTATTTCAACTAAAATAAACGAATCAAAAAGTTACCTTCAAATTTTTTAACAGAGTTGTCAGCAGCCCTTCGCTTTTTCTTTTTATTTCTTGTTCTGATATTCATAGAGCATGGGCCATTGTTGTTTTCCGAGTCTGCCAATTCCATATCCAAGTTTGTCATTATACTTTCGAACATCAAACTTTCTGGTCGTGGTGGTGATTGTGAACAATACTTTGACTTTTGGTCGATCTGCAATCAAATGATACATTAAGAATAGAAATTTCATTTTGATCTGTCAAAGGAACAATAAATATTTAAAAATTCCTTATGATTACTTTAAGTTCTACAAAACTAAATCCTAATTATCAATATATGAATTTATTTTTGAACATCAGATAACAGGTTCAATCTTTACTTTAACATATTCAGAAAAAAACAATTTCAAAAATACCTTCTTCAACTGAGCATTGAAAATCATATTCCTCAACTCCTAAACCCTTTCACCATACTGACAAGACATTCATAAAACCATTCCTACTCCATTGGTTTTTCAAAATGAAATGGATTTCACCAAATCATTGCAATAGTTAATGTTGCGTCATCAAAATTTATTTATAAAAGTCAAATTTACTGGTAAAAAATATATTTTAAGTAGTTGAGCTAAGGAATCTAAAATTAGAACTGCTTTGTTAAACCAACCAATCAGAATGCTAGTTGATTAAGTCATTCTATGGTTTAGGATTTTCCATTTGGGCATTCAGCCAAAACATCAATAAATACCTAAAGAATATTCCAGACCTCTGACAAATTTTGAGAATTCTATTTTAAGTTATCCTCTATATACATGATAATGTTTTGCTTTTTACTAACATAAACTGTCTATGAAACTCAGCTATGCTTAACATGTAACTGTGTCAACAAAGAACTGGGTCATCTTCAAAATATTTACATTTCATACAAAATCAATTTCCAAATTTTGACCTTCATGTAAAGATTATTGTGAAACTTATGATAAATTTTCAATCATTAAGATAGTGAATATACATAAATTCTTATAATAAGTGTCAAATATATTTTAATATGAAAAATGGATGTATTCATCAAAGAATATAATCTATTAAGAACTGGATGTATGCATGAAAAATTATAGTGCCAGCATAAAATAAATGTAACACAAAAGAGCATAAAATTATGAAATTTCAGAATAAGACGAAGTCAACAATATTTTGCACAATTAGACAATGTTATTGGAAGAACAATTAATTGCAAAAAATGCTTCTACTTACATCGATCATTTTAAATGCTGATAAAATTCCTATGAAAGAAAACTGATTATTTCCTGATTATATTAATCCCGACAAAATTTGTAAAATCCAATATTTCTAAACCGGTAAGTGGTCATTAGACCTGAATAATTTTGATCACCCTTTCATTGTAAAACACTCTCTCATTGAACATTCAAGACTGACAAAGTTTACGTCAGCCAAGCTATTTATACTAGCACAGCTACATGGCTCAACGTTGACTGGTTGACTCAACGATATGTGACCCCAGTCTACGTACGCAGATCCACGCAAATTTGTTTACATCCGACTCACAACAATGTCGGCCATGTTTACTATGGCGTGACCTATAAACAATGCAAATTTCTAAATTTCTGTTGTTAAATATAATAACAGCATTTGATATCATTCAAAATCAATCTTTTATATATGATTAAAAGAAAACTTTTAAGTATCTCAATGCAACTTACTTCTATCATGACGCTTTTTGTATTAGCACTTTCAAGCATACTCCCGCCGCTGTCACCATTTTCTCAAAACAATCAGTCGGATAACCTCGGAAGAATGATGAAAAATAATTTCCAATTCAATTTCCAAAAAGCCTCACTTTTATTTTAAAAATTACGAAAATAGTTATATTATACAATAAGTAAAAAAAAATACAAAAAAAAAAAAGATTTTAGAAGTTATAAAATTTTAGTCGTAGAAACGTTTTAACAGTGGAACATTAATCACCTGGCGGGGAACATATTATTAAACATTGAATACTTATTTTTCTTCACGTTTTTGGTGTAGAGAATTATGGATATTCCACCAAATCATCCTGACGGTAAAGTTTACGTATAGTTTTGTAGATGCAGATTTGATTTTGTTAGATAGCTAGTATGTAAATATATAGATGTGTGATACAGGTATATCTTCTTACAAACGCCAGTCTGTCATGTTTAAAATTTCGACCTTCTTTTCCCAAGTTTGGTTCATTTTCATGTATCTGTTTATGCCAAATTATGGTTAGATTAGGTTAGAGGTATTTCTAAGTTAGGTTTTTCCTTTATGGCTTGTTTTAGGGTTTGTTTAGTATAGCTCTATAAGGTTTGGGACCCATTATTGGCATTAAGTAAAATAAGGCACCGTTACGGCGTTAGATAACATGATATCTGACGTAAATTTTGGATCATCTAAATAAAAAATATTAAAATACAGCCAAGAACAGGCAAACACACTTATATTTGTCAGATTGAGACAACCATAGCATCTTAGATTTCATACTGCTGTTTGACATTGCATGTGTATCTCCCCCTTTCTTCTGTTGTATTATTAAATATCCTGGTGTTATCAGTTCTCAATAATCAGTACTTCGATTTCTAGAAAACCCTTTGGTTTGAAGCAAAAGCCAAATGATAAGTGATAAAACAAGATGATATTGATGAAAAGCTTACAATTCAGGGTTATGTATTGTTTATATTTATTATAATGGCATTTTAACTACAGAAAACAGATTTTTGCTTACTGTATGCAAGTTATTTGTTTTTTTTTGGGGGGGGGGGGGATAATTATGTAGAAAGTAGATAACTCTATCTTAATTATTATTATCATAGCAATGAAGTACTGTCATGACTGTTGGAATAATAAAGACCAATTTTAATTTGGTAAATAATTTCAAACTTTTTTAATCATTACCTAAATGTATGTGAAAAAAAAAAAATACAACACATACAAATGTAGAAGCAGTACCGTAATTGGCCTTGTATACAGGGCTCAACAATAACGCTTGTTCGATTGTCCGTTACCAGAGGAATAAATGGTTGGACAAGTAAAAGCCATATCAAGCTTGTCCCACAGGGCAAGTAAGAAAATAAATTAAATCAACTTTGATAAAGTAATAAACAAAAAACAAGAAAAGAAGATAAAAATAAATATTTATTTGACATGTTTACTTGCGATAGATAGGTTCTTTGTCAGATACTTTATAACAGATAAAAGGCATACTATTCTGGGAAACCAGTCTTACCAATGGCTTTTATAGATAAGGTAACAAGACAGTTCAATACGGTCATGGAAACAATCAGCTCCATGTTTAATAGACAGTTCGGCACCATTGGAGACATTTGGACCAAGACAAACCAGTACCTCATTTTCCTACCTTATTATGTTGCTTTATGATAATTAGATATAGGAAGAAATATATATGATAAATTTTATTTAGCAAAAATATTTTTTAAAGTCATGTGACAAGACATAACTAGATTCAGTTCTTCTCGACTCATATTTTTGAAAAGGATATCAAGAGATATAAATCAAATTCTGTTCTTTTGTTTTGATTCATTTTGTTCATTGAATCAACCTAAAATGCAAAAAAGGTTAATATAAAGGTATTTTTTTTGGACAAGTTACAATTCCATTCGGACAAGTAAGTTTTGGTATGTACTTGTCCTATTGGGCAAGTTGAAAAAATGTTATGTAGAGGCCTGGTATAGTTGTCTTGATAGTTCGCAATGGTACATTGTCTGCACCCCCTTCTCGCCACGAGAATTCAGGTAAAAAAACTTTTTGTAACTATTCGAGAAAACGTCTAATGAAACTCAGTAATTTCAAATCTTGTGTGATCGTTTGTGGTTTTTTCATGGAAAAACCCATTTTCCATCAAATATTAGTTGAAAATGCTTGAAAATGATTCTAGAACAATTCACAAGTGTTAAAATAAGTCAAGATCACAAAAAAAACAATTGAGAAACTTGTGTATGTTTAAACAGGAAATTTCGAATAGCACATGTTAATGAAAATAAATACGGTGAGAGTGTGTAGAAAAAGAGAATACCACTAGAATATGACTGACAGTAAAACAGTTCCATCCTTTAGTAAAATGCTGTTAAACATATCCTTCATATATATTAATGTTTGAAGGATCTTAAGCTAAAACAAAACGCATCAGTATGAATTACCAAAACGGAACGAATAACCAGTTACGTTTTGTAGTTTATACATTGTTATGCATAAACTGGTTCCCAGCTAACTTATACACTTTTTTCATTCCGTTAATTACAAGTTGTTTCCAGTTTATGTAATGCAATGCTGTGAAAAGTAACGAGAAATTTGTAATGAAGCATTTAATTTTGAAATTAATCACTTTATAATGGATTTTGAATTAAAATTGCACATTCATATGGATTAGGTAAAATATAATTTTTGAAAATGATAAGGGCACCCTCTACAATTTCAAAAACAAATATGGCGGAATGTAAACAAACCTTGCGAAATCGAGTTTTTCTCTTATTTCTTGCTTATCGTAGTTTTTTATGCCCATCCCTGTCTGGCAGGTTCAATTTTGGAGAATAAAACCGCGGACTATACAAGCCTGAATTCGGTACTGACAGTGCTTTTTCTTATTAAGACAGAGTTATCTCCCATTTACACAAAAATTGTTTCTCTTTGTTTTGGCACTATTTGGGATTATGGTCCATTATCTATAGTATTATTGGTTAATGTGGTTTTTTTTGGGGGGCGGGGGGTTCAATGAACCCCATGATATTATGATTACATGCAATGTAACAATTTTTTTTACTGTATTGCCACTTTGGCCAATAATTACTAATAATATGCACATTTTGTTAGTATTAATTTACTAGATACATGTACAATTTACATTGATTGTACCTGTCTTTATTCCCCCAAAACCTTATGACTTTTCAGCTGAATTTGTACACCAAATGTATTTGTGCTCACTTGTGATGTTACCTTGAAATTGCTTGAATCCATGAAAACCCAACTGTATGATGCCAAAAACAAGATGAAATTGATAATAAAATCTATTAATTGATGTTATTTATATATAAGTTATATTCATTTCAATTCAATGTGTACTTCCAAAAGAACATTTTTTACATGTAGGCAAGTTTCTGGAGTAACAATATGGCAGTCATAATTATGCAAAAGTCTGTATTATAACCACAGCACTGATTAACTGTTTGAATTTTAAAGACCTCAATTTTGATTATAAATCTACCTGTTCAAATGAACACTGCTATACATGAACATTCACCCTCTTCAAAAGTTACTGTTAATATATACATTGTACCAGAATGACTAAATACAACACCAAAACACCTTTTTTTCCTTTAACCACTTTTTCAGTTGGAGGTCAAATATAATTGTAGATCATAATTTCCTGTCAAAAATGACCCCTGTACCCATTGTGGATCAATGCAAGACTACCATACCTGCCAACTTTTAAAATTCTCTATGGGGGATTTCAAGCACAAGCGGACCTAATCCTACCTCTACATATCATTAGTGTACTTAATTAGAACATCTATGGTTTAGAATGAGAAGGCATGTGTTTAAATGTATTTTATACTCCTCTGTTTGCCTTTTTAAGTAAGGGTCAGGTCAACACCTCTCATCTCATGGGGGGATATCCCCCATAACGCAGGAAAGTTGGCAGGTCAGAACTAATACTGAACTACATGAAGTTTAAATTAGGGACATTATTGTTTAGGAAAATATGCTCCATTTTAATTTGATTAAAGGCATCATAAAGTTTTCTTTTTTCGACTCACACTTCTTGCTGTACAATGTACACTTTGCTGAACTTGCTGTTCAATCACACCCTCTTTCCTATGTAACTTTTTCTCTTTGTGAAACTTAATATATAAATTGCACAATTGTTGCTCTTATATGTACAAATATGTACAAAGGAAGTTGAAAGGCGATAGGTAATAATTGGTTAGGCAGTAACACAACCATTTTGATTTTTACCTTTTGGTTGAAATGTGAAAGACATTAAGGACAACTTATTTTTCATACTAAACATAGAAATATATTAGTTAACTCCTCCTGGGTTGCTAATTAGTTAAAATTTACCAACTATCTTTATTTTATTATACCCCACTCTTCTTGAAGCATGAGTATTTGCTTCTTCTCCGCTAAGAATGTGGCATTAAGGAGTAAAAGCAAAGACTCATCAGAATAATGTGTCAGAGTAAGGTGACATGTCTTCCTGGGGACTGTTACCTTGTGAACTAGCACGTTTATAAATCTAGCTTAGCATGTCGGTCTAGTACAAAGCAGGGTAAATATTCATATTACATTAACATGTTTTCGTCCTGAATATGCATATTAATTTGCCGCTGGACGTTAAGCAGCCATCCATCATCATCAGCCTGAAGCATGATGTTTATAGTGATGGAGAGCCCCTGTTTG